TTCCTAGTCGTGGGAAGAAGCTCTTCGTCATCATCGTCGTCATCAACACATCCAACAGAAATCACTATGACTGTAAGGACTGTCAAAGTAGTTCCTGGAACGCCTAACCTGAAATTTGAATCGCATTTTCAAATATGTTGTAAAATTCGATTGAGGGAGCCGATAAGGCTCATATAGACTGGTCATACTATCGCCGATCGGATAGTATACTAGTATTGTTAGCGGGTGGTTTTCTGCTGTCAGGACCACCGTCACCAGTGAATCCTGTTCTGTACCCTACCTGCTCGATACCCCCTTTCCTAAGCTCGCTATGCCTCAGTATTTCCGATCCGACGTATAAAGACCTCTAGTCGCCTTCAGTTTCTCTATCACCCTATGCTGATTACTGTATCACGGAGTCCCTGAACGGCCAAATCTGTCTTATGAATTCCTTAACCGCTCGGTTTCCCTATCGACAAGCAACAGTAACTGTGTGAGTTTTGTTTTGGTAAGTCCCATCAGGCAAGTTACACAAAAAGTTACCCACCTCATTTGAAGCACAGGTGGTGGTCGAATGAAAGTAGTAATAAGGTCTTATCTAGTAGAGCTTACAAAAATTACACGAATCAATATGAAATCTGAGGGTTGATAAAGAAAAAAAGCGAGAGCACACCGGTAGGCCCCAGTCGATCATGTAGAATGTGACGTCTTCAAGTTACCTGCTACCTAACCCTACCTTCCTTTCCACGGGTACTCTTCCCTTCATAAAGGCGGAGATGGAGTAATGGCAAGGGTCGCGCTATTGCACACGCATGGTCCAAAAAACAAATCTCAGATTGTCTGCCTGGGCCATCGAAGCCTTCCATCCCTCCGGGGTCGGTGAATTGGTACCAGACTCGTTTGGGAGGATAAAAGCAGTGACTTGCATATTGGCTGGTCACCGCAAGTCATGTATAGGTCACATACGCATTCAATACGTCACTACGATTCTGAATGAAAGTCGAATGCAGGGCACGTTCTAGAAAAGGGCTCGATCAAGACCGAAATTCATCATCCTTTTATCCCTTATTCGTCCCTTTGGTTTCAGATTTTGAAACTTTTTCACCAGTGAACGGTCACTTCTCTTCCCACCTTGGCCGACTGCTCCCTTCCCATAAGTTCCTTCGCCTTTCAGAACTGTCCAGGTGCATTTATCTGATTGCGTGGATACCGTACTTTGTTGTTTTTTTCTAAATAAGGGCATATGTTTGATAAATGAACCTGAGTCACTAGGACGTCATCTGTACCTGTCCTTTTACTGGGAATTTCTTCAATCCAGTGGAACGGACGTTTCAAAATGTTCATTGGTTGCTGAAAGGGCTCCCAAAATGGAGTGTTGTTATCAGTAGTTAATTGAGTTTTGGGAGGCTTTTTTAAGCCTCTTGGGGAAATTGAAGGGTGAAAGGATCAACCGGTGCTTGCCTGACTAACGAACAAAGCGGTTATCATAGCTGCCCTGGATTTTTTATTGATATATGCCAGAAACATATTTCTTTTCAGCTTAAACAAAGCAACAGATGACAAAGATAAAGTTTGCGCGTTAATCAATCCCAGGATGCGCCATGCATTCGACTTCCATCCAAAATCTAAATGGCGTACATAAAAGGACAAAGCGTTTGGGTCTGAGGTAATCAATCCCGCCTGGGCCCCTGCATTCGACTTCTATTCAGAATCGTAGTGGCGTACTGAATGCATATGTGGCCTGTGCAATGACTTGCGCTGGCAAGCCGATGCACAAGTCAGTGCTTTTATTCTCCCAGAGGAGTCTGGTACCAATGTACCTGTACCCCGAAAGAATGAAAGGCTTGGTTGGCTGTGTGTATCGGTCCGGAATCTGAGCCCTGGGCTCTGGGTGTGGGATAGTGCGCCCCTTGCCACTACAGTACCTCTGCCCATGTTACATACGGGTACGAATCTCCGAAATGCCTCCAAAACACCACTTCACTGGAGGACGGCTGAGAGACAAATCCAGCTTAATTGAATTGTCAGATATTTCAAAGTGAATTACTCGAGCTTTGCGTGACTCTCTCAAAAAAATTCAAGCGAAACTTGTTTTTATAACCCAATTTAAATTAGGGACAAATTTCCATTGGCTCCCCAGACTTATTCTTTTCGATCGAGGTAGTCATCCGTCTCTTTTTCCAACAACACCAGTAAATCTTTTAAGACTGACGGCATCATTTCCGGCCTCGTGCACCGAGAGGGCCTCTACGCACTGCTTTTATAGACCTATGTGAAACATCCCGTTTTCATGTGTCAACTGGTTCGTCTGCCCAGTTTTCATCCTGAGGGAATCTGTCTACATATGTACCTGTACTATGTACTTCTTCTCAACTCCTCAAGGAGATTACCGTACCCCAGCAACAACTCATCTGCTCCTGCTCTACTTGATATCTCGAGCTTCGAAGTCTGGTTGCACCATGAGAGGCCGAGTAGTGGGCGGATTTCCAAAATGTCCGGTCCCCTCTGGACGCTCCTTATTGTCTTTATAGGCTTGGAGAAATTCCGTTCCGTTCAACTATCTTCTATCGGCAGGCTATCAAATTTTACTACTTACCATTGTGCCTGGCTTAATTGTTGGCAAACGGCTCAACTATTTTTGTTCTTATCAGTTTGGCTTTCAACGACAGCCTCCTATCACATAATGGGTGTTGCCCAAAGACGAGTTAGGGCTTCCTATCGCATTCTTCAGAAGGTTTAGAAAGTCAGCGACATTCCGCTTTGTGTTGAACACTGGGTCATTGTCATTTACTATCTGATAGGTACGGTATACGCCGGTACGAAAAAAATTAATTATTTCTAGCCAGCTGCACAGCCCCCTAGCACGGTTTCCTTTCTGGCCATAACAGGCAATCTCGGCGCAGTTCGGCTCTCTAGTGAAAAAGGTCTGTTCAAAAGCCCTCCCTGGCCAATTCTTGGGATTAGAGGGAATAAATTGCCAGGCTTCAGGGAAAAGAAGTGAAGAGTCTTCTTAAAATGCGCTCCTTATCTGGACTTCAGGCTCAGGATAAGATTCGCTCCATTTTCGCTTTACTTTACTTTTTAGGAGGAAATCCTAGGTAATTCCCCTATAATATGTAGAAGGTGCCATGCTGCCTCGCTACTTTCGAACCTAACTTACCATCTAATAAGACTCCTTCTTGAAACTATATGAAGGGACCATTTTGTCCCCTGAAAGGCTGCCCAGTCCTTCATCCGGCTCTCTTTCTTACTAGTAAATCTACCTGCATCTAAGAATTTCTTTGAAGTTACAAGTCTACTCGGGAAATAAATCATCCGGCCATGTTTAACTCAATGGCTAAGAGCATTGTTTAGCGCTCGCACAACGAGCGGGACGAATTCTTCCAAAATGGAATCTATACTGTACGAGAGAAAACTTGTATCAGTCGACAGGATGCGAAAGATTACTCTCAGCTTTAGTCATCCTCGAAATCATTGTATCTTTATGTACTGGTTCAGAACGATTCGAGATATATGTAAGAATGTTGATTTCATGGCGCAATTCGGCAGTGTCTTTTCGAAGAGGGATTTTCAGCTAATTCAGCTTTTCCTTTGATTTTCCCCTCAATTTCTTTCAGCAACGAGATTTTCTTTTTTGGCAAGAAAGCTTTCATCAAAGCTTTCATCAAGCGGTTTATGTCATGACAGTCATGACAAGGTGAAATTCGAAAAGCCGGCCACCATACAAAAATGGTCCCCGTTATGTCAACAACTGAGTGGAGTCGGATTTGGTCAGGGTGTCGTTGACAGGGACAGGGCCGGACCTGTCGCTGATGCAAATGTGCCCCATTTAGTCCCTGTCATGGACGAATACAGTCGATGGCAACGAAAATATAACTGGCTGTCGTTGAAATCGACAGCAGCCTTTGTTTGATGTGACCGACCGGCACTGCACGCCCCAAACCGACTTCTGCACCCATTCCCCCACAACTGTTTATTGTCCCCATGTACTTCTTTCAATGCCCTTTCTCTATCCGAATTTACACTACTCTCTGTTCGGAAGATCATTTACTCCATCATGGTGTATTTAGCCTCTGAACCTTCTTTGTCAACAACTTCACAGTTTTGTTTACAACTTTGATTGTTTACGTATTTCTCTCAGTGCCCTTTCTCCGTTCTGTTATTGCCAAACATGCAGTATTCTGTTCGGAAGCGGGAATGTTCCTTGTTTAAAAGGCATATGTAGCCTCTAGGACCCCCATTTTAGCTAATTAACAATTCTGTTGACGAATTGTTGTTTGTTTATGCTTACCATATTTCCTATGATGATATGGGTGGTATGCAGTTCAACAGATTATAAACAAGGAATAGCTTCAATCTCGTTTAATAATATTTTCTTTCTGTCTTAATAGTGCAGTAGTCATCGCACTATCGAGTCCGTTCTGTCAACAGTTCCAACTTCTTCTGAGGGACCGATGCGTATAAAATGAATTTGAATAATAACATTAAAAAAACAATAAACATAATCAAACTGGTTGAAATTGTCATCAAAATCAAGGAGAGCAGTAGAGGTGAAATGAATCAAATTAAATGATTGATTAATGAATAGAAATATCGAAGGTTTTCAACAACATTTGTGGAATTTAGAAATTAAAAGATCAGCCGCAACCCAAGTTGTTTTGAACCCGAAAAAAATGCATGTATGGGAGTCTTTTTCGTGTCGATGTGAGACCCAATTGGGTGTGGTTTATTCCGTTCTCGCTCGTTTCCAGAAAATTTCAAAACGCCAATTCGTGTATTTTCCAGTATTTCAGCTTTTTGTGTGATTCTTTCCGCTAGAATGGGCGTGACGTCAATGAATTTCCCAAATTGTTTGGCAACGACCTAATGGCTTGTAATTCGGCGGAATACGTAATGGCTGCATTGTGTGAGATGGGTCGACGAAGACGAATTGCTAAAAAAACTCCACTTACCCGTTGAAACACTTGCGAACGCTTGAAAAAAATTGTTTTCGCGGAGAAATCCAATTCTCTCCCCATTTCCCCCGCTTCATCTCTTTTCAGGAAAAAAAA